TCAAGCAATTTTGACAGAATGGAGATATCAACATATGACAGTGCTATCTCAACTTCTATTATTTTTGCATTTGGCGGGGCTTGCACTTAGACGGATCAAATTACCTCATTACCTCCGTTTCAAATTGATTTCCCCATGAGTTAAGTCTTTGACGTTTGATAACTTTGAAAAAATATATCAAGAATGTGCATTTACAGTGGCAAAGTTAAAAATACTTATCTTTCATTTCTGCTAATAAAAGCAATATTTATTTAGTTACCAGCGTAATTACATTAAATATGTAACGGTTTTTTTTTTGAGCTATAGAACTTTAAGTTGGCATTACTTTTGAAGATGGCGACCGATTTGACAGCTATCAAGTGATTTATACTCAGTTTTGTTTGACAATTCATCATGAATAGACTCACGCCTGAACAACGCTTGCAAATTGTGCAGTTTTATTTCGAAAATAATGGTTCTGTGCGGAATCCGTATCGCGCACTACGTCCATTTTGTCGTCGACAAAATCGTCTATCAGAGCAGTTAATTCGATTAATCATGGAACGTTTTCGCACCACGTTGACTCTAATTGATAACTCGTATACCTTACGGTGCGTACAGAAGAAGCTATTGCTACTGTAGAGCGTAGTATTGAGGAAGACCCGAATGAGTCTATCCGCCATCGAGCACAGCAATTGGATCTGTGTCCATATAGAAGATTTTGCGGAAGGATCTTGGTTTGCGTGCTTACAAAATCCAACTCGTGCAAGAATTGAAGCCAAACGATCATCAAGCAAGGCGTAGATTCGTTGAATGGGCCCAAAAACGAGATTGCCGTTGTTCCCGATTTTCATAAGCGAATTTTGTTTAGCGATGAAGCGCAGTTCTGGTTGAATGGCTACGTCAACAAACAAAACTGCCGCATTTGGAGTGAAGCTAATCCTCAAGTCTATGTCGAAACACCGTTACATCCAGAAAAACTGACTGTTTGGTGCACTTTATGGGCTGGTGGAGTCATTGGTCCGTACTTCTTACTAACTTTTTCATTCCTGAATTGAGCAATCATGATGTCTAGGAGCTGTGGTTCCAACAAGACCGCGCAACATGTCACATAGCTCGTGCTACAATCGATTTATTGAAAGGCACGTTTGGTGACCGCCTAATTTCATGTTCTCGACCTGTGAATTGGCCTCCAAGATCTTGTGATTTAACACCACTAGACTATTTTCTGTAGGGCTATGTAAAGTCATTGGTCTATGCGGTTAAGCCACAAACGCTTGACCATTTGGAAGACAACATTCGCCATGTTATTGCCGATATACGGCCACATATGTTGGAAAAGGTCATCGAAAATTGGACGTCCAGATTGGACTACATCCGAGCCAGCCGTGGCAGTCATATTCATATTCATTTTCAACGGTCTTTTACGTACAATGCGGTGAAATTGATCAACTCTTTCGAACAATGTTTCATCAGCACCTTTTCTAAAAAAAAAATTTAAGAACTACTTATTGAGCTCTTAGGTTATTGCCTTCTCTTTGAATCGTACGTATTATGTTTTTTGTTCTAATCGTACGCATTATGTCATATTTATTAATTCTTCTTTTACTATTATTCTTCTTTTTCCTTTTCTTTTTCAGTTTTTTATTTTATTTTTAAGGTAGTAATAAGCATTTACATGACATCTATGGTTAAGTATAAATGGCCATTGGCCAGACTTCGCCATTTGTAAGGGTACATAATTATGTATGTGTTACAATAAAGTCCATTGAATTGGATTGAATTGAATATACCAGAAATCATATTTAAAATGTAATGCCACAAGATTATCTTTCGAATAAAAAAAATTCATGTCAATCGAATAGTCCATCGTTGGTTTATTGCAATTTAAAGTTCTATACCTCTAAAAAAAAACACCCTTTATAATACTTTTGATATATTATGAGTCTTATTGTCATTTACTCATGTTTGTTGCACGTTAATGCACAATCTCATTTATCTACGCTTGTGTCCCATTTTTTGATAAAAAATGGCATTTTCCGTTCGGTAAGCTACATTTGGTCATTAAGGGACATCGGTATGCCGACGTAGACGCCATTCAAAAGGCGTCGACGACCATTTTGACGGACATCCCGGTCAGTGAGCTAAGATCATCATTCGAAAATCTTTTGGTCCGTATTAACTCTGATGACGGAGACTATTTTGAATAAAATGGATTCGATTTTCCGAAACAACAAGTGTTTGTTCATTTTTTCTTTTTCCGGTTTAATTTGCGACAGGCCTAGTAATTCTTCCTTGAGATATGGTCAGAAACGGTAGGAGAATGCGCTTTATGAATAAGACTTAATTTTTCGCATACTACAGGGGCCTGGAAACAACGACTGTAAATACGCAGTCGAGCAAGTTCACAAGCAGAAAAGTCGCGGCTTACACTGTAAACAAAATTAATTCGTGAATTAAGCATATCGAAATCTGTCAAGTGATTATAACAATGCCTAAAGTCTCCCTCTCCTAAAAGAGTAGCTTCTTCCTCTTTGCTCTCGGTCTCCCTTCTCTCCTTTCCTTAATTTTTTTCCGTTAAAATTGTCTGGGAAAGGATGCGAATTTTTACAGCGCTGCATTCTATTCTTAGTTCATTTGATCTTTATCATCTTGTTTGAGCAAATACTGTTTAAGTAACTCTGTTGTTTTTGATTATTTATTATATATTTCAGAAAATATTGTTTCAGTTTATTTATTAGCCTATTTTTGTTAACTTTACACAATTGTATTTTAGTTTATCCATTTGTCGTTTATTCCTTATTACTTCTACAAGAAACTGCTTTGGTTATTATTCACTTAATTTTAGCAAATGTACCTTTTTAATTCTCTTATTTTCATTATCATATCTGCTTGTGTCTATTTTCCATTACTTGTTTTATATTTGATGTCAGGGTATTGCTGAAAAATGATATTTTGTAAAAACAAATTCTCACATAAAAAGTGCTCCATTCAAGATTTTTTTGGGCAGTATTAAATATTACACTATTGTGTATATACAGGGTGGCGCATCGAAAATGAAACAGACGCATTTACTGGCAGCTCACGTTTTTTTTTTAAAAACGCTCAGACCCGTCGATTTTGTTTTCGAGGGGGACACAAGTTTGGCAAAAAATCACATTAGCACATGCAGCCCCCTAAGCCACCCTTTACAATGATATAAAATTAATGTACTTCAGTTCAGTAGTTCTGAAGATTTATTGATTTAAAGCTTAAAGTAGACTTTAATAGGTACATGAGATTAGTTTGTACTACTTTCAGTATAAATTTGACGAAAAGAATTTACTTAATAAGTAAATGCTTTTCTTCACTACGCCCATCGTTTGTTCATCATCTTGTTGTTGAAAATAGCTATTGGAGCGTTTTTTTGTGGCAAAAAAGTTATTTCTTGAAGAAAGATAAGGAAATATCTCGAACTTATCTTAAATAAGAGTTTAGTACATAGTTTGCGATTGATTTGACCAAACTTTGTTGCCTAAATAACTTGTAACGCTTTATTACATAAATTAATCATGGTATATAGCAGAAATATTTAATGAGCGACACGAGAACAGTAACGTGTATCGAAAATATGTTCCAGAACTTGTAGCTAAATTTCGGGAAGCTGGGTCAATTGCCAATAAAACACGCAACATTGAAAATCGCATAAGGAACGAAGCAGTAGAGGTGGGGGTTTTAGGGCAAGTTTATGTAGATCCTACGTTAAGTACCCGCAAATTGAAGACTGTGCATGGTATTAGTCGACGTACTGTCCAACGGATTCTACACGCCCATAGTTTTCATCCGTATAAAATTCACCTGGTACAAGAACTTAATGAAGGCGATTTTGATCGGCGATTACAATTTTGTGAAGATATGAGTGAACGAATTGTAAACGGTGAACATTTTCTATTCAAGACTTGCTTTTCCGACGACTGTTCCTTTTTCTTAAATGGCGTAGTGAATCGTCATAACTGCCGATATTGGTCCGATTCTAATCCCAGAATTTATCATGAGGTTCATACACAGCAGCCACAAAAATTAAATGTTTGGGCTGTTTTTTTTGGTGATCATTTAGTTGGTCCTTTTTTCTTACCTAGAAATTTGACCGGTGAAATGTATTTGGAATTACTGGAAGACGCCACAGATCCTGCATTAACAGCCATTATTGAAAATCAGAATGATCAGTGGCACATTGCGAATAGGTTGATGTTCCAACAGGATGGTGCGCCACCACGTTACGCATTACGTGTTCGACAATATTTAGATCATACGCTTCCAGATCGATGGATTGGTAGAAGAGGTGCCATTGAATGGCCCCAAGATCGCCAGATTTATCATCTTTGGATTTCTTTATGTGGGGTCATTTAAAAAGCAAAATCTATGCTACTCAGCCAACATCATTAGAAGACCTGCGAGAAATAATTGTGAATGAGTGCCTTCAAATTACTACTCAAATATTGCAAAATGTGCGGCAACGTTTTGAGCAAGATCTTTATTATTTCAAAATTTACTTGCCTAACGGGTCAGTTCATTCTTCATTTTTAAATTACTTTGCTGCCAAATGTATTAATCTCCACTAATGATGATGTATTAGTTTTATTTAAGCTTTAAATCAATAAATCTTCAAAGCTACTGAACTGAAGTACATCAGTTTTATATCGTTATAAAGGGAAATGAAAGACCTCTAAAATAAGGTATCACTCGACCCCCTTTTCGAATTAAGATTTTGGGGGTGGTGTCACCCGTGCTAACGTGATTTTTTGCCAACCTTGTGTCCCCCTCGAAGACAAAATCGACGGGTGTGAGCGTTTTTTAAAAAAAAAACTGAGCTGCCAGTAAATGCGTCTGTTTCGTTTTCGATGCGCCACCCTGTATGTTAAACCTGCAATAACCCCTAAGTACGTGGTGATGTAAAGTGTACCATCACCCAAAATTAAAAACACACTCCACTCATTGCTTAGGAAACGGGTACCCTGTTAAGTAACTTTTTATTTCTGAAGCGGAAGTGCGGAAGCCAGGGGGGCATATGCTGCAATCTGCAATGACGATATACACAACGGAGCCATCCGGCGATTGAAGAGAGTAGCAGTGCTTTACGACGCCAACAGAGACAGCAGGAAAGCTTCTATTTAGAACATGAGATACTTGACGCCAGATGGCGCTGGGAAACTTAAATTCGATTCCAGCAACGCAGTAAAGTTCGCTGCTGTCTGCTGTCCCGACGCGTCGCCGTCGTGCTTCAGCCTTCAACACAGCTTCGCAGACCGCAAGTAGGAAATATGTAAGATTCACATCGCTAGATGACGCTTCTGTACTATTGATCGATCCCCGCAGCTTTCAGTGCTGCGAGCGCAATTTGCAACACTTACAGGAAGGAAGCGAAACTTGTTATATTAGGAGTTGCGTGTTACCGTCACAAGATGTCACCGGGTAAAGGAAGATCGAATTATAAGAGAAGACTCCTAATCTTAAATCTTTCGGCCGTCTACCCCTAGCCAAGTGTCACGTTTATACCGTGTGCTTTTTCAAGTAGTAATTTGTATTTTAATAACAAAGCAGCATTAAACGCCTACCCTGATACAGAATAGCACCGCCTACCAAAGTGAAAAATATAAAATAGTAAAAAGGGCATTCCTTCTTCAACAGCATTATTCAGAGCCGCACTCAAATAGGAGCATCCGTTTGAGAGTTATTGCGTCGAGCATTAAAAAGCATACGCATACCGGATAATGTGGTTAAAATTCTTAAACGTCTCGACCAATATTTGTCAAAAGATGTAGTGAACTGCAAATCAAACTCTTTCATTTTAGTCTAATCATATTAGCAAATTTCCCCGAAATAATTGTAAAGTCTGGTTTTACTGATGCGAGTTCTTCAAGGGGGCATTTAAAACATGGGCGCATAAAATGGGTGGGAAATTGTTTTATTCAACGACAGAGAATGAGAAAACGTGTTTTTGGTATTCAATCGAAAGTGTTGACAGGAACGAAAAAACTTTTCATATAAGATTTTTGGGTATTTATGAGACCACACGTGAAAAGATCCGAATAACAGCAAAAATGTTATGGCCGAAAAACGAGGCAAATGCGGGTTTTGGCACTTGTTGGTACTAACTACTTGAAATTCTTCAGATCCGTAGGATTCATACTTCTAAATAACAACAACAAAATTGGAGTATAAGTAGTTTTTTGAAAATTTCTAATTGTTTATCCCAAAACATCTGTTTTTCGGCCATCACTAATAGTATATTGAGCAATATACAGGGTTCGCTCAAAGAGAATTTAATGGTAAAATACACGTGTTTAGCTTACCGATATGAATCACAAACCATTCTGAAAGATAAATGTTATTTTTATGCGAAAAAACGAATGTTACGTTTTTTCTTATAAACAAATTCAAACATTTCGTATTTGTGAGTAACAAATGCGCTACGATATTCGAGAAACGTCCGTTACTATACACATTTTGAAACAAAACGGATGTGTCTATCATCTTTTGTTTCGAATTACTCAAAAATAAGAAATGTTCGAATTTGTTTAGAAAAAAAACTTTACCCATCTTTTTTGCATAAAAATAACATTTATTTTCAGGAATGGTTCGCGATTCATATTGGCAACGTAAACTAGTGTATTTTGCTATAAAATGCCCTTTGACCTAATTGTGTATATTGCTCGATAAACTAGTAGCGATGGCCAGAAAACAGCTGTTTTGGGATAAACAATTGGACATTTCAAAAAACTGCTTGACCAATCTACGCTTATTTTGTTGTGGCTATTTAGAAGTACGAATCCTACAGATTTGAACCATTTCACGTATCTGCGAGGAACCATTACCAACAAGTGCCAAAATTATACTTTACAATTATTTCTTAAACCACGGGTATTTTCGTCTAACATGACTAGATTATTTGTTGCAGCTCAAAACTGAATTTAAATGGATTTGGAGAACTATTGGAATTACTTTTTTGAAACATTCAAGCAAATAGCACTTGAAAGCAACACTTGAGATAATGAGCCGTATTCATAAAACAACTTGTACTCGCAAACTTTGCAGGAACCCCTCCAGATGGTATTTATAATAATTTGAACTAAATGCTTTTGCTTTTTGAATATAAGCATTACCTTCAAAGCAGTGAGATAAGTAAAAGGATATTCATAATATTCACCTTATACTTGGCATAGGAAGCATATGCTTCAAAAATTCTGAGTGTGGTCAGTAGCAGACTCAACTTCGTAACGCAAGGTCGTCAAACGATGATGGCGGAAATTGTGGATGTTAGGTGGAACATATAAACCTCGTTTACCTTGACTTGGTCGTGACTTAAAAAAATTATATCGGTTCGCCGAAGGAAATGTACAATGGCTTGCGGACAGATTTTTAGTTGAGAATGAGGAAACTCGAGGAGGAGCACTTTCATGTATTCATAAAATGAAGATATGTCTACGCTATCTCGGTGACCCTGGATATCAACAAGGTATTGGTCAGGAACTTGGTGTTAGTCAAGCAACAGCATCTCGGACTGTGGATAGAGTTGTGAACAGCATAGTTGCACAGTCGAAATTTTCCAACTACCAACCATGAACTGACGGAGCCCAAGCGGATATGGCAAAGCATGTATAAATTTCCGACAGCAATTGGTGTAATTGATTGTACACATATAGGAATCTTGAAACCAAATTGCCATGGAGATGAGTATATCAACCGAAAAGGAAAACCTATTTTAAATGTGCAAGACACTCGTGATACCAGAGAGATGTTCACAAGTGTTGATGTCAGTTGGCCTGGATCAGTGCATGATTCCAGAATATGGAGAAATTCACAGACTAGATCACAACTAATGAATAAAGCAAATGTTGTACTACTTGGCGATGATGGTTATGGTATTGAGCCATGCCTTCTCCCTTCAGAAATCCTACTCCAGGTGCAGAAATAGTAATAGTAATAATAATATTCATTTGTCTCCAAAATACACAACCATTACACAGAATTTTATAGAGGACAAATAAATGAAGAGCCCGCAGAAGGGTGGCCCTTGTGCGCGGGTAAAGGAACACAGAAAATACTTATATACTAACGATGACGTAACACAATAAACTCCTTTTCTTTATTCTAATTAACAAATGAGTGATGTATATGGATTTAAGTGAAATTCCATATATGTAAGTGAAGTATGGATTGTACTCATAGAATATGGTATATCAGAGGAAGTACAAACCACTAAAGGATAACCTGTGCGTGGCCATTACATCCAACTGAACCAAAACTAAACTCAAGGATTTTGAAATGCAACACTACAGATAATTTAAGATGGGCCGCTAAGGCTTAATGACTTAACTAAACTAGCGGCTGATCTATCTATAACTATTTTTTCGGTCAAATCACAGACCGCGAAGGCTAAATAGATCTACACTAAGTATAATATATGAAGGCTTAAAAGTACTGGTTAGGAAATGGAAAATTAAATCTGAGAGAATGACCTACAACTTACAATGTATAGCTCGTGCCTTCTATGTTAGTACATATGGATTTTAACTCTTGGGACCACGTGCAGCCAGGCTTTTATTTGTTTTTTAAATGAGTTTAAGTTATTCAGTTTTTTGTAAGACAATGGGATGGTATTGAAAATTCTTGGACAGAGAAAAATCCAGGACCTTTGTATGAGTGTTTTCTCCGGCTTTGGGACTACATTCTGAGACAGCATTTTCTGACGGGTGCCAAAGCAGTGTTCAATTTGTTTCAGTGAGGACCGATTTTTGTACTGAAAAGTAATGAGATTGTACATATATAACCGTCTGACGTCAAAAACATTAGCCTCAGCAAACAACTCGTTGGTAGGATATGTCTTTCTTTTTTTGTATATCAGTTTAAGTATGTATTTTTGTACGCATTCGAGATTTCTGAGGTGACTTGAGGCCACAGCTCCCCATCCAATGATACCATAGTTTAAATGAGACTGAACAAGTGCAAAATATAATGTTTTTAAAGATTTCTCAGTCAGTAATCCTGTTAGATGTTTAAAGTTTGGTAACAGCATTCTAATTTTTTTCACGGTGTATTTCTATGCTTCGTCCATTTCAAGTTTTCATCGAGGATAATGCCTAGATATTTTATGTCACTGATCCGTTTGATAGTTATTGTGTTATTGGAACTTAGATTAATGTTTAGAGTGTCGTACTCTGGCAAGTGATTTTTGTAGGAAGCAAAGGGGACAAAGTCGGTTTTTGCGATACTCACGATCAAAAGTTTACTATTATAAAATTCAAGAACAGTTTTAAGATCATCCTCAATGAGTATTTTTAGTTTTGCCCAGTTAGCACCTTCATATATAACTACCGTATCATCCGCAAATCCCAAAATTGTTCCTTTGCTAAATTATAATAAGCTTTTAAAACAAGAAAGAGTTATAATTGAATGCTGTTTCGGCCAACTGAAACGCCGGTTTTCTATCCTACAGTATGTTTGCCGCGTAAAGTTGGAAAATGTGCCGAAAATAATTATTGCTTGTATTGTACTCCATAGTGTTGCGAAGAGCTTGGGCGATCCTGACTTTGAGTTACTTGAACAAGACCCAGATGATGTTGAAGGTAATCGTGAGAATGTCGAATTTCCTCTCCGCCAACTAGGTCAACAAATAAGAAGAAGCTTGAGTATTATAATAAATAGTTTTACTGAGTAAAGTGTATTTATAAGTTATAAGTTTTATTTTCGTGAACATCATAAGTTACAGGTGGCTTCTGACGCAGCATCATTTCTAATTTCGTTTTATAATACTGTTGTTGTAAAATACTTGTTTGGTACTGCTGTAATAGCACTAGACGTTGTAGTTCTTTTGTAGTTAACTCTTTGGTTTCCTCAGTTTCATATTTCTCTGTTGCTAATTTTCTTTTTGGTAGCAATGTCTTCTGAATTGCTGGCGCTGTAATACTGTTTGCTCACTGCACTCGGTATCTAGTTCACTTCCTTCTTCTTGAACACTTTTTTTTCAAACCTGATCTCATGTTGTTAATTTTTTTAACAAGCCTTTAGTATCTAATGGTTTAGCGAATGTTGATTAGTATTTTTTCAACATCTTCTTCAAGGCATCGTCCTTTCTCATTTTTATTCATGGAACTTGTGACTTTTGCAAAATAATGGGAGCAATGGTAATTTCATCGGCGATGAACTGCAGGTCGTTGCCATTATTTTCTATAGTTTCCTCATCACTTGAGGATGACATGCTTATTAACTTGATAAAAAACTGTATCCAGTAAAAATACGGAACGGTCTGTGTAAGCTCTGGAGTACAACCGTCAGTGATGCTGAGTGAACGAACTCCCACGTCAACTACAAGCTGGAACAAGTCAGGACATATCGTTCAAGATACAAATACCAGTCAACCTTTTACTTCTTCTTGGAGGATATCCTCGCGAGTATAAGGATATGAATATGAAAACAAGGATATGTTTACCTTTTTCTCCGAAGCAAGACCTTATACTTTTACCTTATGCCTCCGAGGATATGCTTCTCTTTTATGAATACGGCTCATTATATGACAAATGTTTGCTATGCCTACTGGAAATTTTATATACCTATTTTTTGGACGCACATATTTCTCAAAATTCAAACGTAGTCAGGAGTATATTTTGAAGGATTCGAATACCGAGATTTGAATGCAAAGTGGATATTCGAATATTCTGATGCAGAAATGGTATTTAGAATCTAGGATAGCGAGTACTGACCAAAACAGTGTTCAGTCGAATACCAAATACCAAACACACAAATTTATTCGCATAGTATTCGAATATCAGCCAAATGTATCATAAATAGGATTCAAATTTGCCCTGTTTTCGAATGCCTCCCAAGTCTAACACATATTCACAATTACGTACATATTTTGAGTCTTTGCGTTGAGGATTAAAAATTAGATGGTGGGCACTTTTCTAATATCACGCATCTAAAATTTTCTAAAATTGGTGTTTGAAGCGACTATACAGGAGAGTATTCTTCGTTGAATAGAAATCGCTCGAAACTTTGTTCCACAGGACAACTTTTAATAATTTTCTGTTGGACTTCAGCACTTGGCTTTCGTGTGATCCTGCAAAATGCTTTTCGGTGTAGCAAATTAACTGTTTTTCAACATTAAAAGCTCTTAAACAGATGTTTTCAATTTTCAGGATAGCCTGGTTCTTGGCATTTTCATTGTTTATATGGTTTTTTGACTAATGAGAATAATTTCTCTTCGACTGTCTTCACTTGCACTCTTACTGGGATTACAGAGTGAACACATACGATTCTATATCCAGGTTTCATCACCTCTTAAATCCACAGTAATATTTTAAATGAAGAAGACACGGCTAACCATAGCGCCCAGCTGTCAGTCATCCATGCAAGCAATAGTTTGTACGCAATAAAATGGTATATTTTGAATCGAGATAAAGATGAACCTGTTTTTGAGTATTTTTACTTTTACTCTTTTCAAAAAGAGCCTAAATACCATTTTATCGTTTCATAAGTTCACTATAGGCACTAATGATTAGACATAACAGGCATTTAAAACAATTAATGATAATAATAGTGTTTATTGATCTAACTACAAAGTTTTCGTGTAAATAATAACGGCAGCGTCCGGTGAACATAACATAGGTACCCCAATAAGTGTACACTTGTACTTGGGTTTTAACTGAACTTGAATCATATGAATACAAAAAATAAACATACTAGTCAATCGTATAAATTGGCATCAGTATCAAATAACATATTGATTTTTAATGTCTACAAAGTCATGGTTGTGTAGCCGGTATAATATATCATGTGCAGATATTTTTCGCTTGAAAAACTGCAGAAACGTTTGCTTTTCGGAATGAGGAATCTTATGCTGCTTATTAAATTTTCAGCATGTATATTCCATCCTAGATGGATGAATACCCCTAAGTAGTTGAAATTATCAACCGATTGTGTGACTATTCCACGTTTTAATTTCGAGGTCATTGATATGTTGTCGCAAGAAAATGTAATAAAAATTGTTTTGTTGAAATTGACTGTTAAAATCCTTTTCTTGAAAAAATGTGTAGCCTTTCGAAAATCTAATACAATTTTGTTTTTTAAAGAAGCCTCCCTTGGTCTGAGTAAATAATTGACATACCGTCTGCGAAACCAATAATTTCTCCATCGTTTTTTAACTTAAAAATGTCATTAATATACAAATTTAACAGCATTGGCCCTAATACGGTTCCTCGTGGAACTCCGATCTAAATGTCATATTTTCACTTAGTGTACTGTTAATGTTCACACATTGGTTTCTGTGTTCCAAATAACGTTTCATGAGTTGGTAAGTACGTCCACGAAATCCTAATTTTTCCAAGGTTTTTAATAATTTTTGATACGTAATGCTATCGAATGCTTTGGCCAAGTTTACAAAAGGCATGCTGTTGAGTTATTACTATCAACGTATTTGTAAATTTTGGTTGTTAACTGAGTTGAGTTGACTTTGCTTCCTGGAATCCTTGCTGATCAGATATGAGGTTGTATTTTGCAATAAAATCTGAATAGCGTTTCTTAAGAATTTTTGGTAAGTTTTTCTATATCGAAATTGGGAGATAATTACAAGGTTTCTATTTATCTCCAGATTTAAATACAGGTTTTATTATTTTCTTTTTTAATTGGGTCGGGAACATTGTAGAAAGACAAATGAAATATAAAGGATCACTGGAATCTTTCAATAACAAAAATATCGAGAAAAACGCTATCTATCACAGACCCTATCCAATTATAACCACCTTGACTCTCCACCTTTTCCGACTAGATTCGATGTGGGCAACCATCATTCGGCACCCCATTAATAGCTTCCGATCGGCCTTCGACCCTGGAAAACGACAAAAAATCATCCCTAAAGGAAAATATATCATCGCCGGTTGACGGTATTCCAATTTCCTGTCAAACCATTTGTCTTTGTCAGCTGATTGGTCCTGCGGTGATTGCCGATTCTACCAATCGAGCGTCTTACACTTTGACTCTTTTGTGTTGATGCTACCCAACACAATTTTACTATACTTACAAATTAATATATGTTGAGCTTCACAGAGTTTCCTATCGTGCTGGCCATGACATCCATGATTCAATTGCAATGAACTTTGTTCGTAATTGTATATGAAATCGATCGCAGTCTGTATACATTGTTAACCAAATCTAGTTTGTTGTTTTTGAAAGATACAGGATGTCCGCAAAGTTGGGGTTTTCCTTTTCAGAAACAACTGCCCTTGAAGTAACAAAGGTAATGTGCAGTGAAACGAGGGCGACCAAGTAAAAAAAAAATTAAGGAAAAAGTAATCACTCTCCAGTTGACGAGAAGGGTTAAGTACGTCTCTGCCCGAAATCATACCGCTCCAACAGAAAATGAAATCAGCTGATGCGCTACCGAGCAGACGCAGGCAGACAAGGAAGGCAAAATGTTGCGTAAAAAGTGTAGGTATTGCATCCCGTCCAATCGATTTGTTAGAATAAATGGTCCAATGAGCATACCGTTCACCATGCCAGCCCAAACATTCACCGAAAATGTTTGTTGAAAATGTGCCCGACGGACAGCGTGCGGATTTTCTACTGACCAAACATGAGTGTTGCGAAAGTTATTCACCCCATTACGCGTCAACGTAGATTCGTCTGTCACCAATATGCACTTCACGTCCGGATTACTGTCATGTTGATGCAACAACCACTCACAAAACCGCACTCTTGCTGGAAAATCGTCAGGTTGAAGGGCTTGTACACATGGGACGTGAAACGGATACAACCCCTCTTCACGCAGCGTTTGCCACACTTTAGTTTTTGATACTTGCACTTTTCTAGCCACGTCTCTTGTACTTGTTGAGGGATTCTCGTCTACGCGATTACATCTACAAGCGTGACCGTAACCGTCGGTTGAAGGTTGCATACTGACCTGACACACTGACCCCGACCCAGTTCTGTCGTCGGGTTGAGTACCACCGGGGCTACAGGACGGTATTCAGATATTTTTGATGTTGCAGAGCCCTTTATCTCGGTTCCCTTAAGACATTGGTGTATATGTTACTTAAAAAAAATTGCTTATGTTTTCAAGATCTACACGTCGTGTAAAGGAAAACCCCAACTTTGCGGAGGTTTATTGTGGATCTACATAAGACTGTGAGTTTCTGTGAGTCTTTTCCGGATGGTACTCAACCGGTCATCTATTTTGATAGCGATGATACAGAAATGGCCCAGGGATCGTTAAACCATGATATTCAAAAAGTGAACGAATTCCCGAATAACCACAACCTCTCAATAGATCCTGATAATTCGAGCCTGATATTTTTTTGTTCAGATTTTAAATGAGAAGAAATTTAAAGTCATCTAACCGTTAAAATTGTGCTAGATTCATGTACGGATTTACGATATTACTTATGATCGTTCATGAGTATACATCACACCGACTAGCAAGTTGATGTTAGTTAAAATTTCTAGGGTTGAACATCCGTGAAAATTTTTTGAGCCTCTACTTTGTTATCTGAAGTGTGTATGTGTGTGAATTATTGAATAGTTCAGCTGTTTTCGAACCTGTAGCACCACATTCTTTTTCCTTATTACCTGTGCGGTAAGCCTCTTAATCGCCTAACACGTATATTCAGTTTTGCACATGTATTTTTGTACTTAGCTGAGCAAAAATACATTCTTCATTTGTTTTCCAAACATATAGTCCAGGTATATTAGGTCCATGCAACTGTCATGGCACCTGATGTAGATGTCTGTAACTTCTGCGAGGACAATTTCATTGTTAAAACCAAACTTGTCAAATGCAGCTTGCAGAGCGTTAGTAGTATAGCAGCTAGCTTTGAACATGTACAATATGTATTCTAAATATTTACTTCGACGAGGACGGAACATAAATACATGATCAAAAGAACTTACCTGTAAGTGATGTTCGATCTTAATTATGTGAATTCCTCGTCGAAGTAAATAGCTTCCTTCTTCCCTATGTATCACCCAATTGTTGCAGCAACTTGGCTTTGAAGAAAATGAGGGTTTATTGGGAGGAAGGTAGGGGGGAGCGGTGCCGCTATCCTTTGCCGCGTGCGCGCTTTGAAAGCGTGGAGGTTTGGTGCAACTACAAGGGTACTACAATATGTATTCTAAATATTTACTTCGACGAGGACTTCACATAATTAAGAACGAACATCACGTACAGGTTAGTTCGTTTGATCATGCAATTATAGACCTATTACGTTCACTACCGTACTTGCCAAATTTTTTGAAAATGTTTTAGAATACTGGCTCCTGAATTTTTTTTAAAAACATAACATACTCAATAAGAACTAGTTGGGATTCAGAGCAAACAGTTCCACACAAAAGCAATCTGTTTTCTCACATCTAGATTATATAAACTGCTTGACCAAAGCAAGCCAGTTCTGTGTGTTTTCCTGCATCTTGCACAAACATTTGATACAGTAGATCATAATTATCTGTTGGATGTTTTGTGAGATTCTGGTATCAGAGGAATTTAATCTATTGAAAAGTTATCTTGAGGGAAGAAAACAGATAGTCTAGATAGGTTCTACTTTTAGTGAAGAAAAAATAAATTATATGCGGTGAACCTCACGGTACAGTTTTAGGTCGATGGTTATTTAACTTATAGGTGAATAGCTTAGTAGATTTGCAAATAGCGGTAGCTGTCGTTTGATTTTCTGACGACACTACTATTCTTTGTTCAGATGAATCGCCGCAGAAAAATCTTGTGGAGAAGATAGAAATTTCTGATTAGTTCAACCATAAATGCCTCAATATTTGGGTGTACTTTTGGATTCGCACATGTAATAATAATAATAATAATAATAAAAGAAATCGTGGATATCGTTAAGCAGTTGCATAATTGGAAGGCCCCGAGCCCAGACCAGATTCATGGCTACTGGATAAAGAAGCTTTGGTGCATGCATGAACAACTAACAAGATATATCAATGACATGCTTTTGAATCCAAATAAGACTCCAACGTTCCTAACACAAGGGCTAACGGTATTAATACCAAAAGATCTCAATAATACAGAAGACCCAGCAAAACACCGCCCAATTACCTGCCTTCCTACGCTATACAAGGTGGTCACTGCTTGTATATCGAAGCGAATTTATGCTCATTGTGAAGAAAACGATATTATTGCGCCACAACAAAAAGGCTGTGCTAAGGGAGCTATGGGATGCAAAGAACAGCTGGCTATCGATTCAGTCATCTGTAACCAAGCCTATACCAACGAAAGGAACCTATACATTACGTACATCGACTATCAGAAGACATACGATTCTGTACCTCATGAGTGGCTTGTCAGGGTGCTGAGGCTCTATAAGGTAGATGAGCATGTAGTGGCCCTATTAGAACATATGCTGAAGACCTGGAGAACCAGAATAACACTGCATACAAACGGGACCAGCACCATTCAAACTGAGACGATCTCTATCCGAAGAGGTCTCTTTCAGGGTGATTCATTAAGTCCCCTATGGTTTTGCCTAGCTATAAATCCCCTCTCAAACCTCTTAAATGCAACAGGGTATGGATATAGTCTGAAAGATAACAGGAACGCATCCATAAAACTGAACCACTTGCTGTATATGGACGACCTAAAGGTAATAGCTGCTACTGAGAATCAAATGAAACAGCTGCTAGAGATAGTCGGTCAGTTCTCAGATGACATAAGTATGCGATTTGGGATGGATAAATGCAAGACCTTATCTATACGTAGGGGGAACATCTACCCTGGAGGATTTTCAAGCTGCAGAGGCCAAAACATTGACGCAATGGACGCAAATGACACATACAAGTACCTTGGAATGGCGCAGGCCCGAAGGATAGACCATAAAAAAATGAAGGAAGCTATATCGCAGACATTCACAAAAAGAATACGGCTACTTCTGAAAACAGAACTCAATAGTAAGAATCTAGTCAAGGCGATTAACACCTACGCATACTCTGCCTTGAACTACTCGTTCGGTATAGTTCTGTGGAGTAAGGACTATGCTAACAAAAAAAGGAGCGCACCATCCTCGCAGTGCAATAGAGCGCACAACCTTACCCCGACAGTTAGGAGGAAGAGGTCTAATGGACATCAGCAAGCAGCTAGCTCAACAGGTACTCGCCTTGCGATCCTACTTCTTTGAGAAGGCCGAGATCTCTGAGCTGCATCGCATCATATGCTCAATAGATGACACAACGCCCTTACACCTTAGTAGACGAGATGACCAACCAAGTCACCAAACCAACGAACAGAAGCTACAACGATGGATTGAAAAACCTCTACATGGGAGACATGCCAACGAGATTAGCCAAGAAAACGTTGACAAGAAAGCGTCAAACTATTGGCTTACCTCAGGCCAAATGTTCCCAGGACCAGGTCATCCCTACCAACAATTACAAGAGGTTCATACTTAAGAACTTGCAACAGTCTGATAAATGCAGGTACGGCTGTCAGGACTCCGAAACAATACAGCACGTAACTGGTGGATGCCAAGCATTCGCTCCAACGGACTATAAGGAGCGCCACGACATAGCTGCCAAAATCATTCACCAGGAGTTGGCATACAAATTCAAACTGATCGAATGCAAGCTACAGTACTACAAATATGCACCGCAATGTGTCCTCGAGAACGACAAGTATAAACTATACTGGGATCGCACTGTGCTTACGGACCAATACATAAAACAAAACAGACCTGACATAATCATTGTCGACAAGGGCGCCCAGAAAGTAACTCTGATTGATGTGGCCATACCTAATAGTAACAATTTAACATACAAGCATAATGAGAAAGTTGCAAAATACAAGGAGCTAGAATTTCAAATTAAACGCCAGTGGAAAATGAAGTACGT